AGTTCAGAGGATGCTAGGGGCTGTCAACTACTTTGGCAAATACTTGCCTCATCTGTCAACGCAGACCGAGTCCCTGCGTAAACTCATTAGGCAGGACACTGTTTTTGAATGGTTGGGGGTGCACGAAAGTGAGTGGCGGCAGTTACGAAAAATGTTGACTGAAGCGCCGGTGTTGACAATTTCTGATCCCGCTAGGCCTACCAAGGTCTCAACAGACGCTTCTGCCTTTGCTCTGGGTGCTGCATTGTTCCAGCATGATGGACAAGATTAGAAAGTGGTGGCATATTCTTCAAGAGTGCTTACAGACACAGAGCGTAGATATGCCCAGATTGAGAAGAAGGCATTAGGAATTGTATTTGGGTGCGAGAAATTTAACGAGTTTGTGCTAGGAAGGAAAATATTAGTTGAAACCGACCATCAACCTTTAATCGCTCTTGCAAAGAAAACCTTGGGTGAACTGCCACCAAGGTTGCAAAGACTATTTCTTCGTTTGCTGAAGTTTGAATTTGATTTGCAGTTTGTCCCGGGAAAGGAGCTGGTGATCGCGGACACACTTTCTCGCATCTCTTGCGAGTCACAACTCGAAGAAAGCTCCACCGACGTTGAGATACATGCAAATGCGGTGCTTTCAACACTGGTAGGCAGCCGGACTTTGGGCAGCCTAAAGACCGCCACATCAAATGATCCGGTCCTGCAAGAAGCGATCAACTGTTTGGAAGCGGGAAAACCAATCCTAGGTGAGTTAAAGGCCGTCATGACAGAGCTTTCCGTGGTCAACGGAGTCTTGTTGAAAGGAAGCAAAGTAGTAATTCCTACGGCAATGCGCAAAGAAATACTTAAACGAATACATCGCGGTCACCTAGGTCTCAACAAGTGCAGAGCAAGGACAAGAAGCCTTGTTTATTGGCCAGGAATGAATGCCGACATCACTGAACTAATCAGGCAATGTGAGACTTGCCAAGTTTTCGCATACAGACAGCAAAATGAACCTTTGCATACACGGGTACCGGAAAATCCTTGGGGCCGAGTTGGGGCAGATTTGTTCGAACTGGCTCGAAGACATTACCTAGTTGTTTATGATGCGTACTCCAATTTTCCGGAAGTGGAGGAGCTACAGGACGTAACTGCTAATGGCGTGATAGCCAAACTTTCTGCGATTTTTTCGCGTCATGGAATACCGTTAGAGGTCTGCACTGACGGAGGCCCACAGTTTTCTGCGAAAACATTTCAAGACTTTGCTGCGCGGTATGACTTTATCCATAGAGTTTCAAGCCCTCGGTATCCCCGTTCCAACGGCCTAGCGGAGAAGGGCGTCCAGGTGGTCAAGCGGCTGCTCCAAAAGGCGCAGGATACCAGGGAGGATTTCTGGCTGAAATTCTTTCCCTCCAGCGGAGCCGTGCGGTAGCTGAGAAGATCTTCTCAGCTACCGCACGGCTCCGCTGGAGGGCGGTCGCTCACCATCAGAGCTTCTTATGGGTCGCGGAATTCGAACACTTGTGCCAGACTTCTCCAATGAACCAGCACCGCCTGTACAAAAACATGCACAGAACCTTCAAAAAGGACGACATCTAGGACGGTTGCAGCCAGGAGACACTGTGCGGATTCTAAATAACGGAAAATGGGTCACAAAAGCCAGGGTGCAATCAAACGTAGCCCCAAGGTCATACAGCGTCATCACAGAAGATGGCAGGACGTTCCGCCGCAACAGGCTACATCTCTTGAAAACATGTGACAAATACGTTCAAGGAACAAATGACGATGACAATGACGACGACTCAGAAGTGGAAGATGAGGGACTATCGGAATCACCTCGACCAGACAATACAGATGAGCACGAAGCTCGGACGCTGCATGAGTACGTCCAGCAAACTCAAAGGCTCAATGGGCGCACCTCAGGCACGTCACGCAGAACAAGACGACCTCCACGTAGACTAAGCTATGATGAAACATTTCAGCAGATTGCGTTTTTTTTTTTACTTTTCTATTGTTTTCTGTTTCCTTCCGTTCTTCCTTCTCTAATGTTTTTGTTTGTTTCTTTGTACCCTCACTTAAAAAAAAAAAAAAAAAAGCCGGAGAAAAGAGGATGTATCGGTATGAACGATGCACGAGCAACACGAATAAAGACGACGACGACGGCAGTTGATCTAATCCCATCCAAGTGTACGGACTGCTTTATTTGTCGTTCTTAACAGAACGATACTGATCTGCGTTGCTGTGCTTTTTTTTTTACCTTGATCGACGCGTGCTTGGTGACGTATTTTTATGGCCATCTTTCGGGCACAACGCCGACGCTGCCTTTTCCCGTAATGGGACATATAAAGTTTTTGCCTTAAAAATGGTGTTGCTTCTATGTTTAGACAGCCTTGATGCTAGTACGCCTCAACGGGCGACTTGTATCTTAGTTGTGTAGATGAGATATTTAGCCAGTGCTGTACAACCGATAACCTGAGGGTCTTTAGCGTGCATCACGCAGTAATGACTACACAAACGCGTGCCGGTACGAAATTCATCCACATCGAAACGGGCTGGGAGTGGGAATCGAACCCAGGAGGTTCTGCACCGCAAGCTTTCGCTCCACGCTCCGAGCTGAGATGCGTTAGCTCCTTCGGCCACCGTTTTTTTTTGTTTTTTTTTTCCTTTGTTGCAACACAAACAACGCACGTCAATTCAATTTAAGATTGAGCTGCAGAACTTTTGCAGGACACGTTTCTCATTTCGAAAAACACTTTACGAAATTCAAGCCACTCGGGCTTATACCCCATTCACACGACCGTAAAGGTACTTTTAGCTAAGGGACCTTTATTCTCTGCGGCCAATCAATTAACGATCTTCCGCGAGTGGCGTGTGCTCGCGACCCAAGAGCACGGGCTGATTCGCCGATAGCAAAGGGACCTATGGTAAAGGTACGTTTATGTTGACCGTGTCAATGGGGTATAAGACTACTCTAAACCTGCTTCACAAGTGAAAAAAAAAAAACAAAAAAAAAAAACGAACTTTCTCGGCACTGGGGTCGGCATGCCGAACCGCCATGCGTGAGCGCCAAACACAACAAAAACACAAAAGAAAAAAACATGTCAAATGGCGCATTATAATCATTCGTCACATTCAAAAAACGAATGTCCGATGGGGTAATACACAGCCCTTTCTTTGGCGTGCACTGGAATACATCCCAGAAGAATGCGGCATCCACGCAAAACAAAAATTAACATATGCTGAATAGTCTCATGTTGCTTACATAAAAACAATCAACCAGTCCACGACACATCTATACCCTTTTCCTATAGCCACACCTTGATGTGCAACTTGTCAGTGTAACTGAAAAAGGAAGTTTTCACCCAAGGTGGCACATTAACTCGGATCAGCACATCTTGGCCGCCTTTACAAAAAAACAGGTCGATACATCAGTGTCGCAAACAAACTGACAACCAAATCGCGTGTGAGCGCTTTCTTGCTCACTAAAGACAGATATTCAAAAGAAAGTCTACCAGGCAAAATATTTCACTGCATCAATAACCTCCCTGTAAGACCCCACGAGTCTTGTTGGCGGGCTACCATAAGGGGAAACAAGAGAGGATGGTAAGTGAGGCGACAGTTTTGTTTGGGTGGAACTGTGGATGGGTCTGTGATTCAGCTGTTCAGTGCAAATAAAGAAAAATAATTCAGGTGTTCAGTGCTTTGTGTTCGTTCCTAATGTGTTTGTGTTTGTGGTGTTTGTTTTCGTTCCTAATGTGTAGTTGTGGGGTGTAAGTAGTAGTGACTTCAAATACCACAGGGACACCATTTACTAAAAAAATATAAAACGCAGAATTCGCGTTTTGTTTTACTTTATTTTGCTGCTGCTAATTTGGAGGAGTGGAAAGCCATAGTAAGCTTCCAAAACATTGTTGAATGAATAGCTAAGCTGTAAAGAACGTTTTTCTTTATAATCTTCTGTAGCTTTTCAGTTGAAAAGCTGTAAAAAAAGCATCTTAGAGGCGACAGAAAGTCTATTGACTTTCTTATTACAAGGTGGGCCAATATTCAAAAGAAAGTCAACAGAAAAGCTACAGAAAGTCAGACGAAAAGCTGTTGACGTTTTATATCCTCTGATGACTTTTTTCAACAGCTTTTCAAAAGAAAAGCATCACGGGAAGTCTGTCGATTTTCATTAGAAAAGTGGGCCAATATTCAAAAGAAAGTAAACAGAAAAGCTGTTGACATTCTATATCCTCTATTGACTTTTTTCAACAGCGTTTCAACAGAAAAGCATAACAATTTTTTTGTAAGGGGAGGGGCCCTTCAGTTTGAGTGTAGTTTAAGTGAGGTTTCTGAATTCGGCGGTTAGACGCGCAGCCAAAGCACTACGGAAGGCACCGAGCGCGCGCTGAAAGCCGGGCATCGAATCTAGACGCAGTGCTGGTCTCATATCGTCGGGGCTAAGAGTATCCGCATCTGGCTCAGACTGTCCTTAGAATAAGGCACGTTCACACAGTACCGTTTAGTTACTTTGCCTTATGTTACGAAAACTTACGTCCGCTTAGTTCGAGAGTGACCGAGAAATGCATGCTCCGTACGAAGCGTGGCAGCCAACGTAACGTAAGAAAACGTGAGCAAACGGCCCTCTGCGAATGGGCCTTCACTATTAGGTGAGATCGAGAAGCAAGCGAATCGGCCTTGACTCTCAGGTTAAATCGAAACATGCAAGCCTGATCATGCTGACCAAGACCGGGAAGCACACGCAATGTAGAGCGCAAACTAGCATCTCGTAGAACCACCGCGCAGAAATTGACGTCACGTGAGTTGAGATAACATGTCGTGTTCACGTCACTTCAATTTGCACTTTAAATTTAGCGGGACAATTGACGTCACGTGAAGTTTGGGTCGCATGACGTGGTCTCTTCGGGTCAACTTTATTGCTCTGAAGTTTAGTGAGGAAATTGACGTGACGGTTCTTCGTAACGATATTGTCTTCTGGAAGTCGGCTGATAGGCCACATTCTGCGTTAAAACGAACCCCCGCAGGCCTTCCGAGTCACCCCCAGCACGAACTGGCCATGCGTCAGAGCTCTGGCTTCAGCGGAATGGTGTCCTTCTACATCAAGGGCGAACTGACGGAGTCCACGAACTTCCTCAAGAGCACAAAGATCATCGCCCTCGCTTCGAGTCTGGGAGGCGTCGAAAGCCTTTCGGAGCTCCCGTGAGAGACGTCACCTGGATTTTCTTACATTCATCCGCGACCATGAGCACAACCGCCTCACTACCTTCATTTTACACGTCACTTACAAGAGGCCGACGCGGGCACACATTGGGACACGAGTGCTACGTCATCAGCGTTCGGCTGAGGCCCGTGTCCTCACAGATTGAACACAAGTTCCATGCCGAGCGCTGACACATCACTCGTTCGAAATCTGTGGTTACCTAAAGAAGCGCAAAAAATACAAGGACGAGGAAGTAAACAGACAAGAGCGCGCTCGCAAATTGCGAGAGCGCTCTTGTCTGTTTATTTCCTCGTCCTTGTATTTTTTCGCGCTTCTTTAGGTGATCTTGAACCAACTGGCCCAAATTGCTACATTAATGAAATCTGTGGCCCGCGTTGGCCTTTTGTTGGTGACGTTTCAAATCCAGCACTACGGCCTTTTGTCTAGGGTGTGCTGCCATGATCAGCAAGATGCTTGTGTGCATCGGGGGGAGGAGTGGGGAAAGGCGCAACGACAGGCCTTATTTTAAAAAAAAAAAAAGCTCTCTCTTTTTTTTTTTTTTTGTCTATATACAGGGTCATCTAGTAGCCGCTGTGCCAATGGATCGATCTCACCAAGCGTTCTACGAATACGTAGCGTCACCCGTATAGCGTAGTTGGCTGTTTCCCGCAGGAGGCACGCGCTAAACTTCGTTTCAGCTTAAGTTTACACGCAGCGGACGCTACGAGCTAATTGAACCAATCAAGCAGCGTCAAACGCGCAAGTCACTTGGCCTTTTCTGTTTACGATGCTTCAGCGATGATAGAACAAGTAAAGAAACATGACCAAAACCATGACCGTATTCACGAGACAACTCGTGTCGTCTCGTTCTTTGCTTGCGCACACCCCCAGAAAGGTTTGTAGCTGTGGAGATCGGTCTATATTAGGGAGTTTTAGCGATTCGTTTTTCAAGCACACGGTTCCGAAATCGCGAACGGTACAGCTGGTCTCTTCCGTGAAACCGTACGTCAAATTTGACATACTTTAGCGAATCGTGAAAGTGGCGCGACCGTGCAAACGACGATGATGATCGTGCTTAACGGTTGCGCCACCTTCTAGTAAACATGTGAAACTTTCTGCAAAGTGTAAGTCCGTAGCGACGGTGGCGGACGTGGTCCGTGGTAGCGGCTCGTGTTTTCGGCGTACGACTGATGTAAACAATTCTGATGTTAGCCTGAGACTGAGGCAGGAAAAGAGGAAGTTTCAAAGTAGAAGAAAAAGGAACAGTCGAGGATACGTCTCTAATACAGTCGAGGATACGTCTCTGTTCCTTTTTCTTCTACTTTGAAACTTCCTCTTTTCCTGCCTCAGTCTCAGGCTAACATCAGAATGGTTAATTTCCACCAGCTCGCCTGCGCACTCACTACAATATCATTGATGTAAACAAGACGGCCGACGTTACATTTGCCGGTCGGAATTTCAAAAACTGCGAAGCTAGATAGAGTAAAAAGTATCTGAACGACCGTAAAGGTATGTGGTGTGTCTCCGTCATCCTGAACTTGAACGATCGTTCACGTTGTGTGCCGTCGAACCAAATAATTTCGTCTGCTCGCAATCGCCACAGCAGCTAGTCTGCCCGCAGATTGCAAAAATTTACTAGCACGCGCAGTTTACAGCATTCACGATCGCTTACTATTCTGAGCAGTCCTCGAGGTGATCTGGTTCAACCTCTCAAATGAAGCAGACTGACAGGACGGCAAATCGCCTCCCGCTGTCCTAAGCCTAACGCTCGGCTGGGTCGGCGAAGGCGCTCCCAAACCGACCGCCATTTTTTTTTTTTTTTTTTTTTTTTTTTTTTTTTTTTTTTACCCGAGTCGTGAACGGTGCTGGCTGCGTTGCGGTGACGACTCCAGCGGCCTGAATGGGAGAAACGAACGAGAAGAGCCTCCCGACTCCCCGAACGACTCGCGTGCGCATGCGCAGTGGCATCGCGGGTACGTTCGAGGGCGAACCGTTCGTGTGGAAACGACCTGCTAAAACTCCCTATTATCCAAGGAGGTTAGAAGTACTAGGAGGGGGCACGTTGCAATATTGGTGAAGCCCAGTCATAAAAAGTTTAAACGGTTTTGTGCCCAGCGTGACCGTAGATCTCTCTGGCGATTGGTGCGCGTGACATGTCACGTGTGAGATGGTAGTTGATTGTGTCATACAATCAACTACTTGCAGGCTTGCGCGCGCTCCGTCCGGTAGGTTTTATCAGATAGAAGGCTAGACTGTGGTGTATTCTAGTACCCCATAGCAAGACGAAGGCTAGCTACGGTCACGTGATGTGGTCACGTTGGCTTTTGGTTGGCATGGTTGGCATGGTAAGTGAGGAGAGTAAGGAGGAAAATGAGAAAGAGGCGAGGCTTCAAGAGAGCATGGCTTGTGGAGGCTACACGGTCGACGTCATGCTCTCTCCTACCCTTCTATCCTCCTTGATATTATCCGAGTCCGCCATTGTTTGGACATACCCTGAGCATCTATTGGACACGAGGGTTGCGTGAGCGTTCGGCGAAGACTCGGGGGCAATCACGCGCTTCGTGCACAAGAAATGGCGACTGCCAATGTTGCTTGGCGAGGTTTCGAAAAAGGCTGTGTTGATCATCTGCATGGAGAAGCGCACTGAACTGCGCTGACATTGACTCTCATGGATTTTCCAGGACCGTCATGTCGCACGCATCCGTGAAGGAGGAGGTGAAGAAAGCAATCGGCATCACCGACAACCTCATTCGGCTGTCGATTGGAATAGAGCACATCGACGACCTGCTCAACGACATCTGCCAGGCCCTGCACAAGGCGGTGAGTATGTATGTCGCCACAATAACCGCGAGGACCGCTAGTATTGAACGTTTCAGCATAGCGTTATCGTTGTACCGTTGCCTTGAACGCGTGTTCGACGGGTGTGTTTACCTACCGACCATGCGTCGAAAATGGTCCCGAAGTGTGAACGGATGCCGTCACAGAAGCCGGCTTGTGTCTTGCTGTAGGGTGTGTCGCAATCCTTGTGGTTGATCGTAGAAATGTAAGCTCAGGCAATATCGCTTCGCTCTGTCCCGGACTGTCTGTACTCCCGGAGAACGGAAAACCGTTTCCTGCAATTTCAGATGAATCTCCAGATAACTGGCAACCATGATCTTAAAGGAGCTGTGCAACGATATTCAATTGGAATGTTTTTCTCTCTACACGAGCTTACTGGCACACCTGGGACTCAAGGATACTCATACACAACACCATTGGCCAAGAAACTCCTTTGTTGCGGTGTAATTTCAAGGACAAAAGCGATCATTTTCATTCAATCTCTCCTTTGCAAAGTTTGATGACGTAACTCGGGGATCGCAGTACACCCAAGTGACGATATTTGAATGCAGTTCATACATTGGACCCGAGCATTGCGTGGGCACTCGGCTTGGGCTCGTGACAATTGCTAGCTCGAGAAGCATTCGGGTTGTGACCCGTGTCCAATCGCTGCAACCACGACAACAGCCGAGCCATAACAATGTCTGGAACTCAGCGCGTGTCCGGCGCTTTGCCAACCCCAGCGCGTGGCTATGATCAACACTGGCGGCATATAATCGGCTCCAGATCACGTGGCCGCTTGTTCTGGCTGCGAGTTGAGGGGGTGAACGCTGCTCGTTTTTCTTTAATTTTTTTCTGGGACTACTATTGCGTGGGGTGAAAAACGAACGCGTGTTTCATAGGTCATTAACGTTAGGGATCCGTTTCAAGCGCTATTTGCCCAAAGTACAAAAATTGTTGCATAGCTCCTTTAATTATTCAGATGGTCGAAGGGTCAATACTCTGAAGCGTAGCTCATTATAGAGGAGGTTCCATACCCTGAAGTGTAGCGCATAACAGTGGCCCGGTCCATACTCTCAAGCATAGCTCGCTTTACACACTTCCGATCCTTCTAGGCTGAAGGGTTTATACTCTGAAGCCTAGCTCATTATAGTGACTTTTATGCATTTCCTTCATCTCGGCTGAAAGGCCTATACTCGGAATCCTAGATCATTATAGTGAAGGGTCCATACTCTGAAGCGTAGCTCAGTACAGTGGAATGTCCATACTCTGATGCGTCGCTCAATATAGTGGCTTTTAGACTCTCCATCCGTCGAGGAGCTTAAATCGTTGTTACCAGTTATTTGAAGCCGTATCTGAAATAACGGCAAGCGCTTTGTCCTCCTCCAGAAACGTTTAAACAGTTCGCGACAGAGCAAAACAATATTTCCTGAGCCTCTTGAAAGCCTAACTAAAGCTCAGGAAGTCGTATTTTCGCAACGGTCGCCAGCTGCGCCCGTTCTGCCCTAGGCACCGAAATGGCGGCGGCCACAAGCAAGTCGGTGAATGGTGTTTCGACACCCTCGAGCAGAAGTGGCCAAGAAGCGGCTCTTCGCGTGTCGAAGTACGGCTCGCGACTCCCTCCCCTCCATCCCTCCCCCTCCCCGCTCCCCCGCTCCCTCCCGGTCACACGAACCCTTCCCCAAAAGCGGAAATGAAACGCGTCTTAAAGGGACCATGAAATGACCTTTTTACTTTTTCCAGATAACTTTTACATTAAACCGTCAATGTTCACGGAATGCCGAACAGGCATCCGTTTTCGTCTCGGTTTATTAACTTCTACACAAAAAATTATTGAAATATCGACTTTTTCATTCTCTCCAACTGACCGCAAAACAAGCCGTGACGTACGCTGTTTCCGGAACCGGAAGTTCTCTCGGCACCAGGAGAATGGGAGTTGGGGTGCGCCGGTAGGTTTTACTGCGCTGATGTCACCGACGTATTTTCTGAATCGACGCCTCTCATCGCCGCATCGCAGCTGAGCGAAATTCAATGAGATATGTTGCGCTACAGCGACAGCATGGGACTAGTCCCATACGCCGGTATGCCTGTTGGGAAGTGCAGCGAGTCTTCCGGTGAAGATTCCAGAAGTCAACCCAACTGTCATTGTTGGCAAAAGGGCCGGCCCGTGTCAGTCGTTTGCAAAGCGACGTAGGTGGAAACAAATTGCCGTGGCGTTTTTCGCAGCCTCGGAGATGCAGGAGCGAGCCGACGTTAAAAAAGATACGTTTGAACTACGAGTGTCAGCACGAACCACGTAAATACCTGTTTACACTCGGAGCGTACGCGCGCGCTTGATGGAAGTGCTGTATTCGCGCTGTTGGTAAGCGCTTCAGGACCGTTCTTTTACGATTGCAACTCGATACTGACGCGACACTCGGCAAAGAAAGGTTGGACCGGGGTTGTACGTATACCTCCCACGAACTGTTATAGCTCGACAGTGACGTGCAGTCTGTCAGAATAAAAATGGCATACCAATAACAAAGTGTACATACCGTGTCACGAAGGTAATCCATACGGCGTTTATTTCAGCTCTATATCACACAAAACAAGAAGACAGAATCGACGAGAGTCCCTTTTCGACGAGTGTTCGTCAACACTGCCTCGGAAAACAAGGGGAAGAGATTGACCTCACCTCTTAATCTAAAATTAAGGTCAGCGATCAAACTATAATACGGGAAGGGTCCACAAGGGTCGCGCGGGCATATTCCATTTAGCACGCCAGCCGGTCGTAAGCAGACGGTTTTGCGACGAAGCAACGCAGCGCCGAGTCGGAATGCCTGCTAGGCCTATATTCTGAGCAGCTCGCTTCGTCGGAGTCGGTGGATCCAGCGTTCTTGTTCGTCGTGGTCTGTTTTAAGTACTGTTTTCTTGCTGCTTGAAGTCGGCACGCGCGAGAAGAACACGTAGAAAAATAAACGTTCAGTCAGTCAGAGTTTTGAGAGGAAGGAAAACAAAGAAAATAAACGTTCGTCGGTCGCCGCCACCCAAGTAACTGTCCGCGCTGCCCTACTGCGCACGCGCAGTAGTTGCTTCGTTTACCACACGATAGATGGCGCTTGGCTCTCAGCATTATCAAATTTGGCAATTTTCGCCACACATCTCTAATTATGCTACAAAATGTGGATCTGAATATTATTTAACAAAACTTTTAGGAAACATTCGCCGGCTATTTATTGTTTACGATCGCGGTGCTGGTGAGGTAGGCTCTTACCCAATAGGCGACGTGGATTCGGCTGAAGTGCTCCGTTTCCGCGGATGCATCGTAGTGAAATGGCGAAGGAAAGAAGGCGCAAAAGAGTCCAGTTTTCTTTTAAAAGTTCTATAGCAAATAATTTTTTTTGGCTCCCTATTTTTGTGTTTTAGTGTTTCTTTTCACACCTTTTACGACGTGCGGTGGATGAAACTCGATTTTAAAATAATTTCATGGTTCCTTTAAGTCGAAAGGCAGGTTGCGGTTATCTTACGTGCATTTGGACTGCTTTTGATTCCGATAGACTGAAAGTAGTTCGAGTTTCGTTTAATGCTCTAAAGAAAAGTTTGACCCCCCCCCCCCCCCCCCCCCCCTCTGCGGCTCTTGGAAGTTTCGTGGTTTTGTCCGCGGCTCTCAAGCCGGGTCAGCCTGGCCACCCCTGCCCTAGAGTTTCATATTTAATGACTCTAATAACGTATGAGAACCAGGGTTGCTTGGTAGGGGGCAGAGCCTTTTATATCCCAGTATAAAAGGCTCTGGTAGGGGGTAACAGCTCCTCTCCCCCCTCCCCCTGTATGAGGGGAGGGGGGAGAGCAGGCCCCAGCAAAGTGGAAGATATCGGAGGGGGGGGGGGGGGGGCGGGCCCCATGCCCCTCCCCTCCCTCCCCCCCCCCCCCCCCCCTTCCTGGCTACGTGCCTGGCTCCTGCATTTGTCGGATTTTATTTTTTGCAGGTACACGTACCTTGCCCCGGTACTCTCTCGCCACCAGACGAAGCGGAATCGAAACCTTTTTCGTGCTGCGGAAACCATTAAAAAGGAACAGGGTTTGCTACCACCGTATATGATTTTGTAACTTCCGTCTCTCCACGCACTATAGGTTAAGCGAGCTGTTTGCAAACACTATTTTACACAGCGTGTGTGTGTGTGTGTGTGTGTGTGCGTGTGCGTGTGCGTGCGTGCGTGCGTGCGCGTGCGCGTGCGCGCGCGCGCGCGTGTGTGTGTGTGTGTGTGTGTGTGTGTGTGTGTGTGTGTGTGTGTGTGTGTGTGTGTGTGTGTGTGTGTGTGTGTGTGTGTGTGTGTGTGTGTGTGTGTGTGTGTGTGTGTGTGTGTGTGTGTTGGGGGGGGGGGGGGGCAGAACGCTTGGCTTTACGCTTGGTTCAGACAGTTGCGTTGCTTGTGTTTAGGACGACCAAAACGACAAACTCGACGAGACAACTGACTCGGCAGGTCTTGAGAGATGAGTAGTTTCAATAAAAATGTATAGCACTTTGCACATGCTAGTGTTTCACGGCACGCTGATTGAGTCGCTCTGACGAAAAGGTACGCCTCGCACAGAACAAAGTTTGGCGTCATAGTGGTCTCTGTCAAAGGGTCATTTAAGGGAACGACCCATTTGATGTCACTTTGCACAGAGGAAAGAACAGCAACTCGTAACGCTAATAAAAAGTGGTGGATACCAGGCAACGTCCCCGATTTCCCACTGCTTCATTTCGTCTGGCTAAGCAGCCTGCGCGATCTTCTCGTTTAAGTTAATTAAATTTAATTTATTGGGCCGAATCCCAGCAAGCCCCACACTGCTTCTGCTCCACGAGGTGCTGGCCTCTCGTGGTGTGCTGACGAACACCACCAAGGGCCAAGCGAACACAGAAGCTGTTTTCACTTTTTTTCCCCGTTTTGCTGGTGGCATTTCACATTTTAGCACAATGTCTTCCTCCTGGCTTCCCCTAAAAAAAAAAAAAAAAAAAAAAAAAAAATCTAGAGCTCTTTTATAGTACAGGCGTTTCAGATTCATGAGAGGCGCTGGTTAATAACGCTCTTTGAGTCTTATCTAATCAAATATTCAAGTGATTTAAGAATTAACCCTTATAAAACGTCTCCGTCTGCTTGAGAATGAAACCGTTAAAGCCGACGGTAAACTTCCGAGCCGTCAAGGTCCGCGGATAATCCGACGCCCGTCACAAGACTCCGCGCGATTGTGCACCGCGCGCAGCCAGACGCAGCGTCAAGATAACCAATTACCCGCTGAAATTAAAAGAAGAAAAACCGAGGGCACTGCTCTCAAGGCTTCTCAGTGGTTGACTGACACTGTTTATTATCGTCCTCGTGTATGTGTATCTGTAAGTGTGTGTGTTCGTCATATCGGGCGGGAATGTCTGCTTCGAGAAGTCGGTGCCCACGCCGATAAGCTCAGCTTCACCCTATACCAAGATACCGTAGTCAAGGCGGGGAGCGAAAGACCCTTACTTTAGAAACAGCCTCGGCTGAACGAACTCACGCTTCGCAGGCTGACTTATCAGAACAACGGTACACACATTTTCCACGAGGGCGCCGCCATCTTGAATGTCGTCACTTCCAGTATGGACGAAAACATTGCTTTGCCGTCGCCACGCCAATAGAAGTCATTCAGGGTATAAGCGTAACCGTCACCCATCCTCGTTGTGCCTGATGTCTATTATTTTAAATATTATTTGCAGGTTGTAATGTTTTATTCATTTTTCATCACCCATACCCGACGTCTATTAGGTGGCTGGGGACAAGAGTACGGGAATAACGTCTAAGGTAGTGGCACTAAATAAGCTACGCTTCAGGGTAACGACACTCGGCCATATTGTGGCTTAAAATCATGGCTGCCAATTATCTTAAGCTTTATCTAAAATCACAGGAAACGCTTTTCCGTCCTCCACAAATGTCTAAACAGTTCGCGACAAAGCAAAGCAATATTACAATAGCTTCCTAACACCGAATCTAATGCTGAAGAAGTCGCTTTTTAGAAACATGACGATCGGCAATTGCGTCTGCTCTGCACAATCACCAGAATGGCGGCGCCCACAACAATGTCGAGGAACAGAGTGTTGATACTCTAAACAAAGGTCACTTAGTGGCTCTAGTCTAGGGAAGTTGAT